AACAGACTGTGGCATCTACTCTGGGAGACTCCTTGGAGAATTCAGTGAAAGGCTAACCATCTTTCTCTGATTTAATTGCTTTGAAAGTGTTTTCCATTCTTCCTGTACAAACATTTTGTCTGAGCCTCCTTTCAGGTCAAATGGACATAAACTTTGTGACTGACTTTAATGAGATTTTGTTCATGCTCTGAAGATTAGAGCCTGCACTGAATGAAGTTTGAATGCTCCTAATTCCCGTTTACTCTTGCAGGTCCAGCCCCTGGGGAGGACTTGCCAACCCAGCACAGGATGGCTCCCAGGCCAGTGAATTTCAGACAGAAAAGACTGCAACTGTCCTGGTCCCATCTGTGGTCCCACGTGCCTCTGAGATGAGGTGCTGCAGGAGGAGGAATGCATGATTTGTAACTCCTAGAAGACAAACCCCAGTTTTGCTGTGTTCCTCAGCAGTTTTCCACAGCATTTAAGTGGAATATTCATAGAATCATAGAATGGCTTGGGTTGGAAAGGACCTTAAAGACCATCTAATTTCCCCCTATACCATAGGCAAGGATGCCACCCACCAGATCAGGTTGCCCAGGGCCTCATCCAACCTGGCCTTGATCACCTGTAGGGATGGGACATCCACAGTCTCTCTGGGGAACCTGTGCTAGTGCCTCACCACCCTCTGAGTGAAGAATTTCCTCCTAACCTCTAATCTAAATCTCCCCTCTTTGAGTTTCAAACCATCCTCCCTTGTCCTGTCATTATCTGACTGAGCCAAAAGTCACTCTCCAGCAATATTGTCCCCTCTCCTGCACCAGTGCTGCTGTGCAAGGAGCAGCCATGTCCAGAAGCACAGCTTCTAGCGGGCATAAGACGGGCTCTTCTCCTTTCAGCTCAGCAGTGTGAGCACAGGGGAGGAGGCATTGGGATGAGGTTAGAAACCTTCCTGTGGATCCAGCCTGGGCTGGAAGCAGAGCTGCTGCTGCCCTAACACAGACAAGCAGAGGTGGCCCAGCAGAGGTGGGGCTCTGCTGTCCCTTCCCCGAGCACCCACTGTCCCTTGGTGCTGGTGCTGGTGCCACAGAGCAACGCTGCAACGTCCCCACAGCAGCAGCCTGAGCATGCCTGGAAGGAAGGCGGCTAACTGCTGTGTTAGGGCCGCAGGGCTTGGCTCCTGTATCTGTTAATCAACTTTATGAAAACCTGTGGGGTCAAAAGAGCAATCAAATAACGGAGGATGAGCCAAGCTGCCTCTTTGTGCTTTCCACCTTTCTAGCCATTTTATCCTTCCTTCCCGCAAAATCAGCTCGCTCGGGCCTGACCTTGTGATGTGACAGCTCCGTTCAGGCTGGCAGAATTAAGATGATTTGTCCCTCTTCATGTTCCTGCGTTTGCTCTCACTCTGCTCCTCCAATCTGTTTGCTTCAAGCTCAGGGCTCCCTAATTGTATTCCAATGGAGACAAACCTCATGATTAAAACTCAAACGCGAGCCTATCCAAGCTGCAGCAGCACAGGCGTCAGAGACCCTGAAATTGCAAACTCAATCTTTCTGATGGATTTAATTCGGGGATCTGTTTTGTCACCCTCATGCTGGGTGCAGCAGCAGCCCCCGCCCCATATGCCCCTCCTTCTCTCACTCCCCCCGGCAATTTCCTCATTGCTTAAAAATATTCAGTGAGGCTCCATCAAAGCGAATATTGAGACTTGTATTATTGTTGCCAGGGGTGACATTAGATGAGAATTATATGAAACAATAAGGGCACTGGAGTATAATCCATTTGACATTTGGAACATGTTCCCAGTGCTCTGTGCTCCTCGAAACATTCACACAACAGAACTGTCTTCATTTTCATCACAATATTTGTGTGCGTGTGCGCGAGTAGATTTATCTCTCCTTTTATTTCTCTGCCTGGTCACTCTCTCTAATGCCAACAAAAGAGAAAAGCCTCGCTTCCAGGTCTGCTCCCCTGTCCAAGCATCATTTCTGATTGTTTATACCCAGAGGACACTCAGCATAGAGCTGGTCCAGACATAGCAGCAGTGCTTGCTGCTCTTGAGCAAAGCGATCCTGGGCAGAGGTTTGGGTTCCTGGGACAGCACATTGCCCTGGGAAGTGATGCTTTAGTTCAGAATTGCACCAGAACAGCAGACACAGACAGCAGAGAGGTGTTCGTGCCCAATCAGCCTCCGTCCTCCTTCCCCCTGCAAAGTTCCACCAAGATCTTGGTCAGGGTCCCGTGCACGAACCACCACGCACCTACCAAGTTTCCTTTGTGTTCATGGAGTCTCACACTGCTAGGGCACTGAGCCACGTGCCAAAGGGCAGCACAGCACCAAAAAAACAAACAAACAAACAAACAAAAAAAACACAAACAAACAAACAAAAAACAACACACACACACACACACAAAACAACCAATGCTGTTGCCAGGGCACACCTTAGAGGAAGCATTTCAAACCACGTTGCTCTCTGGCTTCCCCATTAGGCCAGGAATTTGCAAGGGGGCTCCAACAAGGGGGCACCTGTTCTTGTTCCTTCCTAAAGTCCACCTGAACTGTTGCCTTCCCTCCAATACTACATACAAAGACTGATGCTTCTGGGAATGGAAACCTCGCCTCCTTAAAAACATCATCACTGAGCTTGGCCGATCCCAAACTGTAGCCATGGAGTCAGCTCATGGATCCACACTGAAACATGAACATGTGGACACAAGCTTCTCCACAAACTCAACCACCCATTTTCCAAGCGATTATCTCAGTTACAGATTCAACAGGATGATCTCATTTGCTAACTAGATGCCCCATGCGCAGAGATCAGAGATTTCCCCCCAAAGTGCCCCCATGCCATGCTCTCAGCCCTGCCCGGTGCCGGTGTCAGGCTGAGCTCAGGAGCACTGAGCAATTTAGTTATGAAATCACCTCATCCAGCACTGGATCACTTTTCATCTGGAGAATGTGCAATATTGCATCTTACAGAGACGGAATGCAGAATATACAGGATAGGATGGGTTTTGTAGAGGTTTTTAAGCATTTTGGGGTTACTGTTAATTTCAGCAAGAATTGTATGCTTTCGGTACTTGTGATGTTTGAGAGAAATGAAAATGTGGGGAAAGTCATAGTGGTCAGAGCAGGCAAATTTGCATTCCAAGATTACACCAGCAAATTCTTCAGCATAACTGCATTAAAAATGTGTTTATCCCATATAATATCAGTGCTTTACATTATTTTCGCTTTAGAAATCATTATCTTGCCAGCTGAGCTGCATGTTGTGAATTATTTGCTAGGAAAACAGTGCACCTAGCCTGGAGATTCAGCTCAGGTTCATTTAAAGTTTCCCGAAGGTTCACGAACTTGTTTAAGTGCCTGGGCTGATTTATGGGGCTGATGTGAACACAGGTGAGACTCATTGGCCTCTGCTTGAGATTCCAGGCTTGTTCTTGCTTAAATCTCAAAGTGAAACTTATGGAGCATGAAACATCCTGAACTGAAAATGAATCAAATGTTTGTGGAAACTTTTGCAAAATGAAGCAGTGAGAGGTCCCGAGCAGACTGCCCCTGCACCGGGCATGTTCCACTGACCTGCTGCAGGTCCTCACCCCTGAAGGACTGGGAACCAGGCTTACAGAATCACAGAACAGCCTGTGTTGGAACGGACCCACAAGGACCACTGGGTCTAACTCCTGGCTCCACATAGCACCACCCCAAAACCAGACCCGATGTCTGACAGTGGTGTCCAAACACTTCTTGAGCTCCAGCAGGCTCGGGGCTGTGACCATGTCCCTGGGGAGCCTGTCCCAGTGCCCGACCACCTCTGGGTGCAGAACCTTTCCAGGCTGAGACACCCCAGGTTGTGGATGGCCCTTTTGGTGTCCAGGGCATGCTGCGGCCTTGTACTCAACCCGCTGTCAAGCAGAACCCCCAGATACTCCATGCAGGGCTGCTCTCCAGCCTCCCCCAGTCTGTACACACAGCCAGGCTACCTTGCTGTAGACATCGGTTCTGCATGCGATTTCATCAGCAGCCCTTGGGGAATGATGCTCTGGGCACGCTGGCTGCTGTGGTCCCTCTGACCAGGTCTGGCAGCAGTCACAGTCCTGGGTCATTTCTGACCGAAACGGTGAGGGCAGACCTGACCTAACTTGTGAATGAGTTCCCACACAGCCTAACAAGAAAATGGAAGCTTTTCAAGTGGCAAAAGTACTAGAGATAGGGAGGAAAGAGGTTTTGTGCCCTGATGGAATTTCTCAGATTTTGTTTTATTCTGTTATTGACAAACATGTTTTTTGTTTTGTTTTGTTTTTAATGGTGATTTTTGTTTTTTAAATGACTATGATCATACCCTTCTCTTCCTCCACCCCATTAAGGAAATGAACACAATGGCAAAATAGAAAGTCATTTGAACAAAAGGATCAACACCTTCCATTTCAGACCACCCCTCTGACAACTTGAAAAAGTTAACATTTTTCTCCCAGTATGGGGATGGGTTGATGTAGCTCCTTACCCACAAATAGTCCCAAAATGACAAGTCAGTGTTCATGGCAGAAATCAGAGATGTTTTCTTCTGCTCATAACCACTGACTGTACTGGCTTCCCTGACATTATTTTCCATACACCTTGCCTCTTTTGATGATAAGTGATGCTACCAAAGACCAGGTTCTCCTCTTCTCCAGGTATGGAGCCTAGAGATGCATTATTTTGGCAGGAAATACTCAGTGGGACCCATTGCTCTTCTTTCTACCAAAAGGAAGCTGAGACTGACTAAGCTTCAGCTTCAGCACTCATTTTCTCAGTCCTTGGGCCACTGCTGCAGCAAACAGCTTGAGGACAAAGACACAAAAGACTTCCCATCACTTGCCCCATTGAAAGTTGCACATTGAGCTTTTTACTTTGCGTTTATGAAATGACACCAGATGATATGGGGCAAGACAAGGTTGGCTTTCTAAGGTAGGATTAGCAGGAGCATCTCCCTTCATTGCCAGCCCTTCCACAATGTTCTGCTTCTGAAACCTCAGTGCTGTCCTCTTAACAAAGTACGAAGATAATTAAATTTTGCAGTGTGGTTACACCTCAGTAAATATTGTCTATAAAAATCAATTGGCATTTACTGTACGTAATGTATAATAGCTATTCTTATAAATCTAAATTATCCTTATAAATCTAAATTAAATGCTTAGGTTTAAGTGTATTTAGGACATTTAATTAATAAAGTGCTACCAAATAACCATTACTAATCTGTTTACTTCAAGCCTGATTTCCATTTCCAAAGGATTTGTTTCTCAGCAGTGTGTGTGGGAGGGTAAAAGTGAAGCATGTGAAGGGGTTCGAAAAAGCTACTACAGGTACCAGAAATATTTAAAGCTTGTCCATTTAAACTCCTTTTCCCCATTGAGAAATCCTGGAACCAGAACTTTTCAAAGGAGAAGGTCCATTTTGACCCAATGATAATGTGAGGTGCTCAAAAAGTTCTGAACTCTGAAACATCTTGTTTCAACAGTTTACTAATTAAAAGCTTTAGTTTTCTGTTTAAGCTGATTCAAAATTTAACTTCATTTAAAAAGAGAAAAACAATTAAGGATGAAAAGGTCAAAACCAAAAAGAACTGATGTAAACAAAAGCTTTAGATTAGTTATAAACATTATGTGGATTACTCATTTGGGGAAAACACAGATTGTGACTTTTTTCCTGAGCTCCTGAAATTGCCCTTCACTGAGGTCTAAAGGCCTGAGTGGCTCACCTGAGGTCCATCAAGGAGCTTGTGCCAAGCAAGGACTTGGGGTTATTTCTCCCAGGTACAGCTGGGCTCAGGTGTTTATGTTCAAAAATCCAGATCCTGGTCAACCAGAAATACGGCACAAGCTAGCACTGAGTTCATTCACTTCAGCTTGCTGGTCTCCTTCCCCCACTTCAAATTTCCATACTGAAACATTATGATGTTTTATTTTGAAATGGTATTGTATCACCCAATTTCTTTCTAGAAAACTGAACAATAAAGACTACAAATGAAGCAAATGTTTTGTTCCAACTGGAATGATTTCTTATCCAGTTTTCTTTTGTTAATAAGTTGGAGAAAACGCAATTCTTATCAAGTTAACCCCCAAATATTTCACAAAAGCTACCAAATGTCCCTGCTCGGCCAGTTTTGCTGCAACACCTCCAGTGCTAACAAGTAGATAATTTTTCCCTCTTCCCATAACCAACATCCAGAGACCTAGCTTGCACAAAGTCAGAGGGTCAAACTCAGAGTAAGCATAGCATGGTACAATTCCGTTGAACCAAAATTAGCTTTAGTGCCGTGATTAATTTGGCTAAAAACATATAATTACAAGCAATACAAATGTATTTCTCATGCTGCTGGAAACTGGTTGAGACTGTTCCTCTGTACAATGCCATCATCCAGGCTAGCATTCGTCTAGCCCAGTCCTTATTGACTTAAAATCATTAAACTCCTTCAGTGCCCCGTAAGGTATCAATGACTGATCACAGCCCAGTGAGGTGAGGAGCGGTATCGGTGGCAGAGTGAGCTGTTGGTCCCCTCCTTGGTAGGCTGAACAGATAATTCCAAGTGTATTAAATTCATTCCTTTGCACAGGGCGTAAAGCAAGGTTTATGTACTAATTAAGCTAGAGCTGAAGGTTATAGTCAGACACTCAATTGCAATTGTCCTAGTGCATTTTAATTAGTTAATCACTTGCAGAAGTCAGTTCCTCATTCCCTGCTTATGCAGGGCGATGCTACAGGAGGGAGCAAGGGCTGGGAGGCAGCAAGGGCAGGCGGGAGGTCCATGATGCAAGCAGACCCCACATCCCAGCACCACCGCAGGCAAGAGCCCAGCTCCTGCTCTGTCCATGGTGGTCTTCAGCTTCACCATCAGTGCACGGTCTCCAAGCAAGCCCGATGTTCTCTGACCCCCAGCTTTTTTGCTGAGCTCCTCTGAACGTTAAATTCATTACAGATGAGTAAAACAAAGGAAAATACCTTCTGGGAAGATGAAGTATTTTATGGTCTGTCTATCTTTTTGTGCTTGATTCAGACTGAGTTTGGCAGATGGAAACGAGCCCAAACCTAAAGAGAGATAGAAGTTGAGAAAATATTTTGAAATGGAGCCTGGCATCTCTGCGTTAACAACTGCTCCTCTCTTAGAGTGACGTTTGACTTCATCTGTCTAACTAGCTTGACGGTCTCTCAGTGTTTTTTCTGATTGGGGTAATTTATTTGTTTTCATGCTAAGTTTTATTGCTTATTGATTTTCCAAGTCATTCTGAACCTATGTCAGTTTTTATCTGCTCGAAGTAATAGAAATCATTCTGTGGAAGATACACTGTGTAAAATCTTATTGCCAGCCAGACTAAAATCTGCAAATACAGTTAATTACCGTGGTTACAGTCCTTTCAGATGACAAATGCAGACCTGACACTGTTGTCCCTCCCTTGCTCCACACAAGCCCTGACAAGAACACATACCCCAGGCTCCAGATTCAGTGAGTGCTACACCACAGGCAGAGGACAAGAAGCCAGTGGCATCCAAGCTGTCACCTCCAAAAAGCCCCGTCAGTGTTCAGGACCCCCAGGAGGCCTCTCACATGGTTTGAGGAAATGTGACGTCCATGGCATGGTTCTGCTCAGATTGCTCCAACCTGCTTCCTTAAGGACTTTCAATGATTTCAACTAGATTTGAATCAGAAAAAGTAAACAAAGTAATAAATCTAACCATAGTAAGAAAAATTCATAGGTCCTTTATGGGCTGCTTACCACAGCTTTATGTCATATTGTGTTTTTCTAGCAGTAACTACTGCCAAAAGAGAAATTGCTCTTAATAACTATTTCCAGCGAGCCTGCTCTTGGAGGCCCATGGGTCTGCACCAGGCAGGCCCCATGGGTTCTTGTGAAGGTGCTGGAGCCACCTGCTGTGGCCTGTCCTCCACAGCAGACGTGTTCTCCTCGTGAACAAAACGAAGCTACCCTCACAGCCTGATGGCCCTGCCTCTGGCCACTCACTGGAGCAGGCAGTTGTCACCACGTATGCCCTCCTTCTGCCATTTGGCAGTAGCCAAAGAAGGAGGAGGATGTATTTTTTCTTCATGCTTCTAGTGCTGGCCATTTGCTTGTTCAAGGGGCATGAGGCCCAGCTCCATCCAGCTTCCTCCTGCTCTCCAAAGATGTCGCCACTCTCATTACCTGCACGCCGACCTGCTCCAGGTGCTCTCCTTAATCTCTCACTCCACGCACACCAAAACCTCAAAGATCTGCCATTTCCCTCTAATCTGGCCCATTTCAGCTGACTGGGGTGAGCAGAAGGTCACACAAGCAGCTGTGCCATCAGACCCACCAGCCCCTGCCCTCCTCCAGGGGCACAGGTGGGCACACAGCGGGGAACAGGTCGGATACCACAGGAGGCCAAGGAGGATGCACGAGAAGAAATTCAGCCTGGTGGGAACCCATCGGTGAATGCCTGGCCTCTTGAAGGCAATAATAGAAGACAAGTTGCACGAATGGCTCGCCACTTTCTCACTTCTCCACCTCCTCCTGCTGTCCCTCCCCACAAGCAGGGCAGAAGCCCCTTCTTCTTCTCATCCTGCCAGGAGCTTCCCTCTGGGCTGGTACGTGCCGGAGCTGCACCAGCACAAGGGGACAGGGAAGGAGGGGAGCAAAGGGAGGAAACGTTTCTCAATTTAGAAAGTAATAATGCAGCTTAATTGCACCAGCAGCTGGCAGTGCTAGGCGGAGTGAGGTGAGGCCTAATTATTGCACTTGGCAGCTGTCTCCTCCGCTGAGCATGTTGATGGGAGAAATGAAGACTCCTTCCAGCAGACAAGTTGGGGAGGGATGGGTGAGCGATGCTGCCGTGGTGGCTGAGCACACGCGGCTCAAGAGCAGCAGGAGGGACGTCCTTCTGCCTCCAAATGGAGGTGGGGATGGGGACAGCTCTCCTGGGTGCCTCTAAAGGGACCGGGAGGGAAAAGGTAAGAAAAGAAAGCCTAGCTGTGATAGAGGCCAGCTCAAGCTCTGCAAGAAAAGTGAGTTGTGGGTGGGGAAGTGAGACCTGCCAGCCCCATCCCTGTGTGAGGCTCCTGACCTTCCTGCAGCCCTTCCACCTGCAGGCAGCGTCTTCTCCAGCAGGAGCAGATCGTGCTTCCAGCTCCAGAGGTGCCCATGTAGCCTTCTGGCTGCTGCAGCCCCTGATGGGATACGACCTTGTGGACATCTGCTTAGCAAAGACTAACGCACACGGTTCAATGTATGCAGTTTAACACGTAGAGCTTTGCCTTCCTTTCTTCTTCTATCCTCTTGCAACATCGAGCAGGGGGAAGGGGGGACATGATGGGGATGGTTTGTATTTCCTTGAGAGGAGCTGGGCTTGATTTTCATTAGCACTAAGATCCCTCTCCACCATTTAGGTTATGGAAAAGGTTTTGAAAATAATTTACATCTGCTTTAAGACTCCTTCACGCTGTCAGGCTTTCCACATAACTGCAAAGAAAACCCTTCGTTCTCACATTTCTCAGCTCACCATCACGCAATGATGCTGAAATTGTTGATTAGCTGACATCCAACACTTAAATGTTACAAGCCTTTATTATTTATTTCCTGGGCAGAGAATTACCACTTCGTGTTATTTTTATTTTACAGATCCAGCTTCTGAAACTACTTAAAAAGCTTTCGATCAAAGATGTACAGTGGTGCTGACAGAACACAGAAGAGTTTTCGCTGGGGAAAGCCATCATTAATTATCAGACTGTAAGTAGCACTGATAGCGCAAGCATTTGATTTTGATTTAATGTCTAAATAAGCTCACTTACAATGGCAAAGTGCTCCTTGTTTAATTGAAAAGCACTAAGTTTTCTATCTCCCCTTCTTGTTTCTTATTCTGGCCATGATCCAGGTGTAGAAATAGAAGGAAACATGAACAGAATGGAAGAAGTCAGTGTGAGAAAGCATCAGCGCCACAGGAGCCTGCTGAGCCTTCTGCCAACACCACTGCTGAGTTGTCTGCAGTTGTCTGGCCCATCTTGTCTCTTCAAGGCTGCCCTTACCCCTCAGATTTCCTGCCATCCCAGCCTGGTGCCTGTCCATCCATTCATCCATCCATCCCCACTTTTTTTCTATATCTCACTTTCCAAAATCACGTCACGGTGGGTTTCTGCCATCCTCCCCAAAAAGGGGATTTTCATTTTGATAAAGGTCTGCACTCAAAGACAAACACCTTGCCACACAAGAAAACAGTGATACTGCCTTGCCAAGATGGAAGGATGGATTTTGGAGAACCTCACCTCGCTCACACGTCCTGTGCCTGCATGGGTGCCTGTGGTTTTGCAACCTAGCAGCCGGCAACAGCTGATATTTTTAGTGCTGCCAGACACTCGATACCTGCCAAGGTCACTTGCTGACAAAAGCGATGATGAGCCGGCGTGGCAGCATGTAACAACCCCACCACTTCCCAGCAATCGGCTTGAACGTGCGTGCTGCCACTTGCCAAGGCGAGACGTGAACAGCGAGGAACGACAGCGGCTGCCGTGCGGGCTGCTGCCTCTGCCCCTCACTCCCTGCTCCGTGCATGGTGGTGTCACATCCCAGCAGATGCTGCCCAAAGAGTGGCAGAAGCTGCAGAACGCTTTGTGCTGAGAGGAATGGGGTTTGCAGGGATGCTGCCAGAGCAATAGCTGCTGTCTCTGTTTGGGACCCAGCATGATCCCATCACTAGTTTCACCGATGGGGAGACAAAACCTGGACAAGCACACGTGTTGGAAAAAATGGAAAGCTTGATTTGTTTTTCTCTAAGCCCTGTGCAATGAATGCCACAGAGGGAAAAAAGCAGGATTGTCAGAGTTGTGAGAGAAAACCATCTCTCTCTTCTTTTTCCACCAGCCCAGGTGGTTAAAATGGGTACAGAGGAAGAGAGGGGGGCTTACATGTATGTCCTCTGCCCGTGGATGGCAGCCCGCACTGGTCACATGCAAGCAGTGGGCTGCACCCACCAGGCTGGCCTGTTGGGTACAGTAAGTCTTGTCTGCTATTTATCTCATTCCCCCCATGGACAAATCTCCTGTTGAGCTCTCACTCTGATGGTTTAGGCAGATAAAAACCTGTCTGCAAGTTCAGAGCCAGCCCAGATGATGCTGGGTGGGAGATGCGTCCATGTCTGTGCTCAGCCACTGCAACAAGCAAACTCCAAATGGAGGTGACAGTTTCATGGGGAGCAGTGAACTGGTACGACAGCCCTTCTCCACTGCCCAAACAGCACGCTCATAACAGATTTTTCACTTCAAGTGCCTTCTACAAGTGTTAATGAACTAACCCTTATGATAGCTCACAGGAGATGTCTCCAGCAGAGCAGGATGCAGGCTGAAGAGCCACACACCTCCCTCTGCTTGCGGGCTGGTGTGTGTGGGTGTGTGTCAGTATGTGCTTGCACACTCATGTGTTTGTGCACTTGTGCATGTGGCTCAAAGAGCTGCCAAGAGTTAGTGAATCACTATTTGAAACAGTGCAGATCAGAAGAAGACCACGTTTCTTCCATCTTTAAATCAAATTAGTGGGTAAGAAAGGTAAACCAAGGCATGGGTTCATCGCATTAAGATCTTAAAGCCTGGAGCGAGCATCAGATGATGAAGGCAGAGCTCGAGTGGCACATACCAGACAATTCCATCCAGTTGCAGATTAATGGCTCTGCTAAATGACTTTAAACCTAATGACATGTAACATGCAAAGATCAGGCTGCTCAGTATCGCAAGAAAAATAGCAATAATGATCGCTTATACAAAATAAACCTCCGGAGGATCAATGCCACCCAGCACAAATGTGACTTTGGATGGGAAGGAATGGAAGAGCAGAGTGAATTTGCATCTTGCCAACACGTAAAAGCCGGACAGGATGTTTAGGAGGAGGTAATAGTCCTGGAGTGCAGGGGCAGAGGCTGTCCTGACTGGAGAAAACAAAAGACACGCATTGAAAAATTCCTTATTTCAAGATTCAGCTACACATTTGTATCTGGCCTATCATTTTCCTCTATGTGTATGAATGTGAGCATCTGAAATTCAGCTGAGCTGCTAACTTCCGCAGGCTATGGAAAGCAATTTTCTTAATAAAAGAGCATGAGCTTGACTTACTAAGAAACCCTGATCTTTGACAATGACTGCCCAACCCCATCCTTTAGACCCGTGTGGATGGCAAGGTGGAAGTGTTCAGGCCAAGAACTGGAAGTGCAGCCAGAAGCCTCTGCAAGGACAGACACAGAAGGGGTGAGTCTGGCCAACACTTGGCCGAATGGACTCCATCTGCCAGGTTCTTGCACCTAGAACAGCAAGAAACCAGCGGGGTCTTTGCAAACACAGGCGAGAGGTTGAGATGCACCAGCCAGGGATGGAAGAATCTTTCTGCTAGCATACAGACTACGTACCCAGAAACCATACAGACAACTGCAGGCAGAACCAGAGCTTGATGCTTGTGCTCCTTGCTGCTTGCCTCGTGGGATAAGTGGCTCCGCACTGAGCTGAGCATCGCGGCAGTGTCCGAGGGCAGCAGCTGCTTGCAGCGCTGGAAAGCCGCTTTGGAAGCCTGAGCTGATGCTGACTCCTGCAATCCTGTTTGCTCATCTCGGTCACTGGGTATTTATTGACTGGGAGGAGAGGGGGGGTTAACGAGGAGGGTGATTGAAAGCTGTATGTGACCTTCCTGCTCTGACACTGGGTAAGATTGTATTGACTGTGATGCAGGAGGGACCAGTTCCTCCCTTGTCCTTGGGGGTGCTGGGCAGAGACAAGGTTTGCAAAGCTTCCCTCCCTTTCTTGGACCCATTCTCTCACTGCAAGGGCAGGATTTGTCCTTCAGCACAGGAAAAAGCAACAACTTGTTTGAATAATTGGTTTCAAGGCTCTTTCATAATGGTGCATAATTTACAACAGGAAAGAAAAGATTCAGTTTAACCCTTTTTTTTTTTTTAACCTTTTCTTTAGAAAATTTGAGGAAAAAAAGTAATTACAGACCCTGGGGAAAGTTTTCCTTCCAGCTTGAGCATTTTCAGAAGTGATCATAAAAATAACGGTAATTTCTAAGTAGGAAAGCTTCAAATTGGAAAATGTAAAAGTTTAATTTTAGAACTTTCCGAGGGGACACATCTAACCCTTTCCAAGCACAATCAGCAAGCGCAAGCTGCTTAGCAGAGGAGGGATAAGTTTCCTTGAGATTTCAATCAGGCACTTTGTTTTTCAGTGAAAAAAGGGTCTTACACCATCAAATCATCACAGAACTATCTGTCATCTCCCCGAGCACGCACAGCTGCTGTGGACGTGCCCATGGTACAGGGACTCTACCACATGTCAAGAGCTGTGTCTGAACTCCTTATGGGTGATGGAGACGAAGCTTGCCTCCTCCAGCTCCACCCTGTAAGCTGCCACCGACCCTGGGTCCCTGTGGGATGGGAGGGCGTTTTGTGATGAGCTGTGAAGGGCAGAGGTTGGGCAGAGAGCAGGGACAGGCAGCTTTTCTGGGGCACCTTCCTCCTCCTTAATGCAATGTAGAACACAGTGTCATTATTTTCATTTAATAAAGTGGAACAAACTTAAGATGCTTAAACGTTGATTAAAGGCTTTGATCTCCAAAAGTGCGATTAGTGTCCTTCTGTCGAAGAAAGTCACTTTGAGAAATGCGCGTGCTGATTCCGCATAATCCCCCCATTAATTCTGTGTCAGATACTGTGTTTACTGGAAGCACACGACAAGCCTTTTCTATTTCCTTTCCCCCCCTCAAACAGTTCTAGAGCCACCATTTTCATGCAGTTTATCCCAGCCATGCTCTTCCTCCCCTTGTCCCCTTGTACGGAGATGGAAGGAAGGAGGGGACAGTCGGTGGCTGTGGCTCAGTGCTGCAGAGGGCTGACAGCCAAGGGGTGACACTAACTCCTCAGCAGACTCTTTCAAAACTTGGCTCTTGCGTGGCTCTGCAGGGGAAGCTAGGTCTAGCAGAAAAGTGCCAACGTTCAGGTTTGGGGCATCCTCCTGACTGCGATGGCTGTGCCTCAGTTTCCCCACCTGCAAAGCCCAAGTGATGCTGCTGTGCAGCACCTGCGATCTACGGCTCAGCTGCGCAGTGCGAGGGACAGCAGGGCCACCTCATTCCACCTCACCCCAGCTCCATCTGGCAACAGCTTCTCCTAGTGCAGGGGTTTCCAACCTGACCAGGAGAGAGACACCAGAGCAGTCAGCAGCTGAACTTTGCAGCTGCTGGCTAATTAAGGGAAGATCTGAAACACACCATGAAATCACTGCAAGCAAACAGCACAACCACAAAAGCTGGCAAGCAGCCGCAGCGGCAGCTCCTTTTGGGGTTACTTTTTGGGGGGTTGGGTGAAGCTGTGATAACGCATCATTGCCATACTGATCCAGAAGGAAGCGAACCAGAACCTAAAACCTAAACCTAAAAAAACAAACAACAACTAACAGATCCCAGGTCAGAGTACCTCTGAGGTCTGACCCGGATCATATTTTGGACGTGTGTTGGTGGGCGCTTCCACTCAGGCAAAGCATTTGCATTGGACACCAAAACAGCTTCATTTTGGTTATCTGCGTGAGAACTGAGTGGGGTAAAAGACACACCAGAACCTGTCCTTGCACATCTGACAGAGGACAAAAGCTCTGTGAATACACAGATTACTATATGAATACAAGATCTATGCCACTGCCGCAAGCTCTCTGTTGGACTCGGTGAACATCTGGGTTTACTGTTCCACATCATATAATAAAAATGTTTTCTACTATTAATTTCAGATAAACATTGTAACAGCCCTTTAACAGCAAGTAAACCCTGCACAGGACCTTTGGTGAATCTGGAGTCTCAGGACTGCCGCCTCGTGCTTTGCTGGTGGCTCTGAAAAAACAGTGAAAAAAATAAACTAAACAGGGGCTTTACGAACTTTTTGGCAAAGAGAAAAATCAAAAGGCCTCATGTTTTACTGATGTGCAACAGTAAATAAACAAACAGGTTTTCTCACCCATACACAGCCGCGATATGGCTTAATGTAACGAAAGGAGTTTCAGAGCCAGAGGCTGTTCGAGTGTTAGCAGTGACCCCGTTGTTTGGAACCACAGAGCGGCTCACCTGCTTCCACTTGCTTCGTGCAAAACACAGGGAAAGGCAACACTCTGAGAGCTGAAATGTTCCTAAATGTCCCTGCATTTTTCCTGGTTTCAGCTGTGACCTCCGTGCTTTGCACAGAAGCGTGCAACCCTCTCTGCAGGACCGATGCTCGAGCCCTGCATGCGCTCTGCCTGTCTCGGCCGCAGCCCAGCCCGAGGAACCCACCTGCTTTGTGCCTTCCGCTGCTCTTAAGACCTAATGAGAAAATTTCCCCATGATTGCCTCACTTGCGCGCTCTCTCTCCACACCAAGTAGCTAATGGTAAGAAGATTTAATAGTGTGATATCACTTTAATGCGAGGAGCATAAATAAAGCTCTTATAACTCTGTAATTACGCCTGCATTGCGCCTATTAACCGTTCAGCGGCACAGAGGGCTCTGCACGGCGACAGGGTGCTTGCAAAGGCTTTTCTGTACCATCAGCTAAAATCTGGGCTTGAAAGGGAGGGGAAAAAAGGGAGAGGGATATGAAGGAAGGTAAGAAATTGGTGATCTCTCAGGTATAGAGTGGATATTCCAGAAGCAATCCTGAGCCTGATGCTACGCTTAAAAGTGCCCAGTGTCTGGCACCGGATTTGAGGCAAGAGGCAGCCCAGGGGACCCATGATGTGGGGACAGGACTGATGTGTCCAACAAACAGGACAGGACTGATGTGACCTACAGGCAGGACAGGACCAATGTGTCCAACAGACAGGACAGGACCAATGTGTCCGACAGGCAGGACCGATGCACCCGACGTGATGCCGCAGAGCAGCGCGGCGCAGGGAGCCCGGCCCAGGCTGTGGGAGCGATTCCAGCTCGATAACGATCTCTGCGTCTTTACCACAGCAAAATAAGCTCAGTCACTTCAAGCAAATAAAAGCAGCGTGTATTTGATCGGTTTAACTCAGCGAGCATTCACGAGTACAACTATTTCTGGTCCCCGCTGCCCTGAGCACATCATGTAGATCAGACAGAGCGCTGATAGCAGGCGGGCATGCTAAAAGCCCTTCCTAAGTTTCTTTGTTGTTAGAGCTGAGAGAGGAATGGTGTTTTGTTTGCCCAGGGGTCTCAATTTTCACACTGGCTTCATTTGGTGTCAGAGAGAAAACCGAACCCAAGACGCGGAAATCGTGTCTGCGGGTTGGGGATCTCAGCGCGTCGAGCTCTGAGTCTGGCTGACTGATGATGCAATACGTTATCACTTGCCAGGCAAAAATAATCACTCGAAACAAAAAGCGAGGTACAACGGAGAAAGTGAGACGTCGTATTTAAAAATACCAGCGCTTCGACTCCTCTGAACTTTGCTCCAGTTCTGCGTGATGACAAAATTCTAGGGAAATCAGGATAAATCTGGAAAACATTTTCATGTCAACAAGTGCTCAGCAAACGCAGGCTGTCAGAGCTCCTCCAGGCCAGCTCTGTGTGTTTATCTTAAAGGTTGGTGCGGCTTGAATATGAACCAGGAAAGGTTCCTATCACAAAGGTTCGTATTCATGACAGGAAAAGGGGAATGCAACCGTTGATCCTTGGGGATAATTAAGCTGGGTAAGGCATGTAGCGTGATGGAAAACTCCTTCACAGCTCCCTTCAGCAGGGAAAAGCCCCCCCTTGCTGCTGGAAGGCTTCTGCTGACTTTCTGCGATGCAACAGCTGCTCACATCCACCGCTGCCGCAGGAAATTGCAGAGTGTAGTTAAGAAGGAGAGAGAGGCTGGCAATGATTTGCATAGCACACGAGCTTATAACCGTGAGCATAATTTTGCCGTTCTAAAACAGCTCCCGAGCTCTCTCACCGCTCTGCCGTGTGCTCTGCTGCTTCCCCGGGTGCTTCGCTGCACATCGGCCCCATGGCATGGTGCTGGCACTGGCCTGGCTGGGTTTGTGCCCAAACCCCATACCCACATGTGGAGCATTCCCTGCCCCGCTTGGTCACAGCATTGGACTCACACAAGGCCTCAAATGTAGGATTTCTGACTGCTTTTAGAGTCTTAAGGTCCTGCTAAATAGCGTAAGCTAGGATAACCCCAAAGGCTTCTCTAAAGGAAAGTGCAGACCACAGGAAGCACTGAAAGCAGAGATGTATTGATGGGAGATGCAGATGGGGATGTTTATGGTTTGAAATTTTAAAACCTTGGATTTGAAAGGGTAAACAAAGCTAATGAGACTAAAAAACCCACACTGAAGCTGCAGCAAATAGTGAATTACACCAATGGCTGCGATGATTAGTAAACAATTAGGACCAATGTTCCATCCTAACTAGCGCCACTGAAGCTAGATGCAGCTAATTTCCAGCAACAGGAAAAGGGGAGATGGAAAAAAATGGGATTCTAAGCACACAGCCAATGAAATTAAACTAAGAATTAATTTCATCCATTATAACTGATTGTTGTAAATTAAAACTAGACGAAAATAATTGGTAGCATGTAGCTTTTAGTGTTTGATACAGATTAGGCGAATTAGATTTTTTTATTAGGAACACTAAACTCATCTACCATGCTCTTGTGTCTTTAGCAATATGCATTTCTCCTGATTACAGCATGCAGCATGTTGTCACAGCGGGGTTTGCAGCCACGAGCGTTTGCTTCATTACGACCCAAACCCTCGGCCATCCATGCAGCCCAGGTAGCTGAGCTGGGTTAGGAGCAGAGAGGTGGCTTCTGTTCCCAGGACATCTGCAGAGCAGAATTGTTTCAGCCACGCTCCCTTCAAACTGGGACCAACAGGAGGATACCTGCTCCAGTGCTGGAGCTGCTCAGCACCTCCAAGGATTGTCCAAAATCCAGGAAATCAATTGCCTTTTGCATAGAGAGGAGGGAGCAATCTTAATACCTTACTGCAGCGAGGACAGCAGCAAGCTGGGCTGATGGTGCCAGTCTGCTCTAAGGGCTTCTGCTCGGTGCCATGCAACAGCCCCAGGAAAACCTTAGCTAGTGAGCTAAGCCTGCAAGGAGACAGAATCTGGAGGCGAATCCATCCAGCTTCCCCTGGCCAAAATCCTTTGTGTCTGCTTCCCCCTTTTAAATGAGGGTAACAGAGCAGCCACCACCCTGGAGCAGCACGAGTGACGCGGGGCTGCAGCACCATCCCAAGAGAAATTCTGCCAGTGCCTTCACCATCCAGGGCTGCTTCTGAGCCTCTCGTGGTCTGCATCAGGAGCGGCTCTGAAGAAGCCAGAGTCCCATAAAGGCCCTGGCTCCGTCTTGAAGAGCCAGTGCTGCTGAAGCAGAGCTCAGCAGGAGAGGTCCCCACCTGGGGATTTGTAGGGCAGCGGGCATGGCACGGTCCCGGGCTGCAGCTCCCCATGCTGTGCTTTTGCCAATTTCCTTCATGTTTTGTGGGTATTCAAAGGTTCGGAGGATGAAGCTGTTATCCTAACACAGGAAGAGGCCAGAATCCTAGGGGTTAAGCTTTCTTTTTCTCCTCTGCCTGAAGATATTTTCTCGCAAGGTGAAAAGCATTGGAAAGACCAGGCTTTGTGCTGCAGCAGATTTTAGAGAGTGGCAGGAAATTAAGTTATATGCGAGCTGTTCTGTTTTTCCTGAGAGGTTATTTTTATGCATTTATTTAATTAATTCCTTTGGCTTATATAAGGGTAATAAGATTTTTGCACGTCTGCAGCGCTCCCTTCCTCGAGGAACTCAAAACATTTTGCGGGGACAGAAATAGGCCTCGCAGCTGCCCCCGCACAAACCCCGAGCAAAGTGGCAGCCACCGAGCACCGAGCAGGAGTGGGTGCCACTTCCCTAAGACGTAAAG